TTATTCATTAATTTATTTATTTTCTTGATATATTTATTTATTTATTCATTTTGTTGTTACGGACCTTGCGTGTAAAGCCAAAAATTTCAACCATTTTGAGTTTAGACGACACCAATGCCGTTACCAACAACTACGGAAGATGTCGAATATGAAATTGTAGAGGTCGAAGTAGACGAGAATGGCAACGAGATCGAAAGTGAAAACTTAGAAAATTCCGAGGAACAGCCTGATCAGAAATTACCAGTTGCCCAGCGAAATGCGAAGTTGCGGGACGAAGTGCGACTCGGAAACCCGGCAAACCAGCAATTACGAGAGCAGGAGGACCGGAAAAAGTTGGTGGCCGAGCAGAAACGGGCATTGAATCTCCCACCCGACACCGTGGTTGAATATCTTGATGGTAAGTTCAAGTTATTCCTGTCGCGAGTTTTCATTGAGTGGGAAACCACTTGGTGACGCTTTCGCTAGTACAAGGGGCTATTGTAAGACTTTCTTAGGCTCCTTGTCACGAACGTGATATCCATTTTTTTGGTGCTGGCGCCATTTGGTGCCGCTAGACGCCAATGTAGTGCCACCGCCTTCTTCACAATTGTATAAATATGACTACCCGGCTTATTTGGCACCCTGATTACTAATATGACATCCGTTCCCCTTTCCGATCAGCTAAGGCTAGCACGGAAGGAAATCCATTTCTCCTCCCAGGCTCAGTCTCAACAGGTCGCTAAATGACAATGATTGTCATATTCGTGATCAGAGTGATCAGAACATAAAACATTCCAGTTATTCAAGCGTTCATCGGTTCTGATGGCGCCAAATGGCGCCAAGGACAAAACCGGATGAAAATTTGTGATCAGGACGGAGTTTCAGCGAAATTTTTCGAGCTTTTGAAGTCGTATTAATGGAGTATCCGTTTCAGAAACCACAATGCGACCTGACTTATACGAGGCCGAGTAGTAAAGCGAGAAAAGGATCGTTCACAGTATTCGAAGGAACGAGTATAACCAAATAGTTCAAGGAATCTTCCCAGAAGTCTATGTTCTCCCGGCCCCCGGTCTTTCATATTTTGACAGGTCTCCCTTACCATTACGTTCCAGCAAGTGTTCAGAGGTAGCGTCTTCAATTCACTTAAATGTAAATTATTACACATAGCTTAGAACCTTTATTCTTACTATTAGTTTTGTTTACTTACATGTCTACATTGTAATTATTTTTTTAGTCCCTGAAACGATCATTTAGACTCATTTCAGAGCTAAACTGAGGAACCGCTTACCCTAATAAATTCGATTAATAAATATTGAGTATATTTTGGTGGGGTTCATGAATACTTTTCAGGAAAATATTCGGAACAATTCACTTTCGAAAGCACCTTCTGCTTTTCGTCGCATGGGCGGGGACAGAGCATCATCTCATTGGTACGATGCTCCTCTGTATTGCTGAAGGGCATTCATACTCCGCGATTCAGTCGCACGGTCTCGACCGTGTTTCACCGCTAACCGTTGGGCGACTACAAGTGGCAATCCGAGCACTTCGAGAATAACTTTCTATCGACCCTAACAGTGGTCCAGTGACTGGCGGTAGAGCTCGGTTGGTCATAATCGCGCGAGTGATCATCGCTCAAGCCGCGAAGTGTGAAAGCGGCTTAGGGTAACGGGAGTTAATGGGACTAGGCAACTGTCCTAACCTCGACATCGGACAGCAGCTATCAAGAGAACTTTTAAAGACTGGACGAATCCACACATTTCAAAATCGTCTGGGGAATTTCGATCATATTCCTCTTTTTCTTCTCTCTAACCTTAGGTCCGCACGGTCATAGGCTGAAGGTATGACAGTCAGGAACAAAGAATTTATCCAAGAAAGAACATAGTAATGTTCTAAGCATTTGTTGACTTTCGTTCTGTGAACTTCTTGTCGTGAATCTCTCCTGGGAACTCGAGCTGGAAAAAAATAAATTTTGAGCTGTAAACGTGCGTAAGCACACGATCATTCCACAGGATTAGGTTACACTTTTATTCTGACATCAGCTCCGTAGTCAGAGACTCTTCGAAAAAAGAAGGTTGGCCCTCAAATTTCGCGCATACATGTTATAGTCGTTTCTACCGCAGCAGCTAGGGCGTCTTAGGGGGCTGGGTTTGGCGCATCGCCTGCCCACTTTTTGACCGGCTGTTGTCGCCTGCACGCTTCAACGAGTTGTGGAGAGCGGGCGCGCCCAAACCAGCCCCGACACGCCCCAACTCCTGCAGCAAAACGACTGTACTGCTTCCGTGTCCCAAGTTCTAACTCAACAAGCTGTTGGAGGAAGGTAGAATGAATGTCAGTCTCCACCCGTCGCCCGTTCCTCTGTCGCGAAATGTGTCTTCAAAAGCAACGGAAATGTGTTTGCTCAGAACATGGCTAACAGCCACGTTGCGCTACTACAGGTCATTCGATGCAAAGAGGGTAGGGTGATCGCAACTGCGGACGAGTGATCCCACTTCTGCGGCTCATGCTCAACCTGGTGCTTGCTTTTTAACCAAACCTTTTGGGGACGCTGTTCTGCTTGATAGGGACATTCTTCTAGACCCCGTCGATCACTGCTGTCGATCTAATAATACCCATAAACTCATGAAAAACTGGTGTTGTAGAGGAACTGACTGACCTGAAGATTGAGCGTTCCCAAGTCGTAAGTTTTCAAAGGTTTCGATCCTATGTTTACATACTCCATAGGAATGTTATAGTTGAACCTGCGATAACCTTTCTGAAAATTCATAATTTGATGTCTTTCTTGGAATTTTGAAAAATGAAGAAGCTGCAAGTGGTATAGTTAAGCAGAAGTACGGTTAAGTGGACATGATCGTTCACTGAGTTTTTAAAGAGTCACATCAATCGCAAGGCGAACCCACAGCTCCTAATGTGTCCAAAAGTTAAACTCAGAAGTCAAGATTGAGTAAGCTAGTTTGTTCGCGCAGCTGCACCGTAGATCTCCCCACCCGCATACGAACGAAACCTTCATAGCAAAACTGCCCCTCCGGTTTTGAGTTTTGAAGGGTCTGAGTCTAAAGTAGGACATGATTTTGGGGTTGCAATCCCCTTCTTTCATTGGAACTAGGGCCATAATCCGCACATCTATCCTCCACGATGTTACACCAAGGCATCTATCCTCCAACGATGTTACACCAAGCATGCCACCCCATGCTAGCAGTTAAACTCATGCTGTTCTGGCTAATTGAGCGTAGAACTCCTAAAGAGATCCAAATATCTTACTTGTTGCCTTCTTAAGCTTACTTTCCTACCACCTGCGCGGGATCAAGTCTTGGATGGACTTTCGCCCTAGTTAACTAAGTCTTCCATCCCAGGGTGAGCGGGTCGCTCGACGACGAAAACCCTGTTATTCGTTCTGCAAAGGATTCTTTAACGGTCATTTGATAACTGACCTTATTGACCTTAGAAGCATCCTCATCACATGAATGATAAAAGGACAGCACAGGTGCCATGGTTGTTTCATTCAAAGGGAAACCATTGGTGTTCCCTTCCAAGCGGAATACTCCTGGCTTTCCGGTTGTCGTCTCGGCGAGAATTTGGTTTAAATCTGTGAAAACACGACTTGTTATTCTTAGATAAGATTAGATGTTCTCCGAGTCCAGAATCTCCCGAAGGCAGGGAACGCTACGTTCCGGCTTCAAGATACAAATGACTGATGATCGGCTCGCAGGTGTGCAGGAATCGGATGGGAGATTACGCTGCGGCGAATCGCGCGGACTACAGTTGATATCCTCGCAATCCAGCGGAGAGGCGTCAGGAGGCGTGGAATGAGCCCACCCGCGCCTGCATTTTCTATCAATAGCGGCCCGATTTGAATGGATAACGACCACCCTTAGAAAAAGCTGCAGCAGGTGGGTTCACACCATTCCTACTGACATCACCCTCCGGAATGCGACAGTTTCAGCTGTAGCTGCTATCTGCTAATTAGTTTCTTGGCTCAGCGTTAGTCGCAGCTCCTCTAAGTTGGGTCAGCAATTTCCTAGTGTAAACGCCGCGCACGTGATTCTGTTTGTAACCTCGCGCTGTAACATGGATTTCTCAACACTATCTCGCCGAGAGGGCGAGAAGATCAAGGTGTTTCGGTACTACCAAGTACTATCTTGCAGGACCACAGTCACTCGGACGGTCTTGACTCCCACCGGCTCATTCGCTTGACTTCCCTAAGGCTTCGATGTGAAGGCATGGCGAAAATATGTATATGTACCAGCTTCTCAAGGGGTGGGGAGGGGTTTCAGGCTGGCAGTGTCAGAGCTCCGTCTAACCGTAAGATCTCTTCAAAC